CCTCAGGGGTCTCTCGCCCTCCATTTGTTCTCAAAGATAATGGCTAATGGTGCGGCGTTCTCTTCAGCCAGTTCTGTAAGTATTCTAGGATGTGTGTAATCCGGCCCTGCTGACTTGGCTAAGGAGTTCTTAGCTTGTTCCTTTCCTGTAGCCTCGGATCCTAGCCCGTTTACCAGACGTTCGCTATGTTAGTCTCCCAGGCAGTGCTAACGTTTTGGCGAAAACTGAAACAAACAAGGCATTTCATGTTTTCAGAACCGTCCTATCCACTGGGTAGTTTGAGGCAGCTGCCCCAGGCCTCAGCCTCTGGGGGACCCGGCAGAGGTCAGGGGGCTCCTGGGGGCTGGTATCAGCAGGGCCAGGCCCATCCCTGCACTCTTCAGTGGCAGTGAGAGGCACAGGAAGCAGTGACCGAGCCCCAGCCTGCTTTGCTGCCCTGAGCGATGTGACTGGGAGCTGGGCTCTGCTCCCCACAGCCACGGGGAGAGCAGAGGAACTGGCCCCCCCAGGACTCCCCCGGGCATCTGTGGCTGGGTTCTCTGTCTGGACACAGGCGCCGTTGGAGGAGTTGGGAGCCACGCTGCTCTTCTCCTGTTTCCTTCTACCGCCTGTCTGCTTTGCTAGATCTCCTGTTGATCACTCCTGGACCAGCCCTGCCCCCTCCTTAACACACAGGGAAGGGTGAGCACAAGGCTGATCCAGGGTAATCAAAGGACAGGGGGCTAGCGCCTTGCCAGGGCCCACCCAGCTAGCGGCTAGATGGCTAAATGCCCTGCGAGACGTGTGCTGAGTTTGTCCAGCCTGAGGTGAGAGGTTCCCAAGGAACAGGCGACCCATTGTCAAGGAGCCTCTGTGTCACACCCTCCCGTTCACTGCGGTACAGGATCATCTAGTCTCCTGGGTCTCGTGTTGGCTGCTGAGTTTAGGACAGGGGCGTGAGGTGGTCTGTGAGGTACAGGCGGTCAGAGCAATTATCCCCTGCTCCCTTTTGGCCTTAAACACTGTGGCTCTCGGAGAATATTTGTGAGTATTCTAGGAACACCATCAGCTTCTTTTAGGAAGGGGAAATGGAGACACAGAGATTACTGCCAAAATTAATGGCCACTATCGATATTCTGGTTAAATTACTAGCCCCATGCTCCAGGTGGTTGGTTGCTCATTGCCTTAGGACCATCCTTTCTCCTCCCTTTCCCATTCACGACACAGAAATTCCATCACGTACAAATATTTGGTAGGCAAATTGTGCTTTGCAGAAGTGGGTACCCGCGACGTTGTACAGAAACTCTAGACACGTACGAAATTTGATCCAGTCTTTCCGAGTGTGGCTGAGCATTAGGTTTGTTATCGGTAGGATTCCGCTTGTAGTCCTGGCTCTGCCTGCTGTGACCTCGTGGAGTCCCTACAGTGTATCGACGTTGCAGTTAACACCCAGCTGAGGGGCTGTTCAACTGCAGCGTTAGACATTCAGGCTGGAGTCCGGGCTCCAGGACCCTGCCGGGTGGGAGGGTCCCAGGACTCAGGCAATGTCTACAGGGCAGTTTAACAGTCCCGCAGAGCAGGCCAGCTGGCCCAGGCCAGACACAGGTATCGAACTGCAGCGTAGATGCACCTCGCAGGCCTCCAGCCACCCATTTTTCCAGTTGATTTGATTGTTTTGTATCATGTAGAGAGGATGCAAATCTGGTGTGAGCGGAAACTCAGCTGCACAACCTTAACGCCACAAAATCTCCATGATTTGGAGCTGAAACGGCCTCCGGCGAGTTCCACGGCAGGGTTTGCCCCGGGCGTTCCCATCAAGGGGTGCCCAAGATAAAGCACCCCAAAGGCAGTTGCTGTGAAAGACTTTAAGTCAGCAATTACTTCTAGGTAGGGAAAAACAGGAGGCAGGAAGTGGGGTTCTACTTTGGGAGACTTGTATCAGTGGAACGCTCCGCCGGCCCAGGTCCAGCAGTTGAAATGGTACGGGGTGAGCCGGCCATCGCTCTGGAAGCGTGGAACAGGCCAGCGCGGGTCTGACCACAGCCCTGTGCACCGGCGAGCACTGCCGAGCAAAAGCCCTTCAGCCCAGAGCACTGGGCCCCGCTTTCTCACCCACATGCGCCGACACTGTCATTTCCAGAAATGATCCTCGCCAGAGGATGTGGTGAAGGCCAGGACTTTAGCAGGGTTCAAAGAAGGGCTAGATAGAGTCACGGAGGTTAGGGCCATCAATGGCTATTAGCCAGGAGGGGTAGGGATGGTGCCCCCAGCCTCTGTTTCTCTGGAGGCGGGTGACAGGGGAGGGATCACGGGAGGATTCCCTATTGTGATCCCTCCCTCTGGGGCACCTGGCATTGGCCACTGTGGGCAGACCGGATGCTGGGCTGGATGGACCATTGGTCTGACCCAGCCTGGCTGCTCTTATGTTCCTATGTTCCCTGGAGATGCTCAACCCCTGTCCCACCCCAGGCCCTGCCCCCACTCCACCCCTTCTCTGAAATCCCAGTTTTTCTCTCCCCACTCCCAAGCCCCCTCCCCCCATCCTCTCCCCCAGCACCTCCGGCCCACTGCTGAGCAGCTGACTGCAGCAGGCGGGCAGCACTGGGAGGGAAGGAGGGTAGAGCAGACCAGGGGGTCGCGGGGGGGAGGGGAGGGAAGAAGGGGAGAGGAGCTAAGTCCAAAGCTGAGTGAGAAGCGTTACAAAGAGATCTTACTGGACTGACAAAACGGCCAATGAAATTCAGTGCTAAGTAACCCACATGGGAAAGCAGAAACCCAGCCAGACATGCAAATGAGCGGTTCCCATTCAGGAGAGAGATCTTGGCGCCCTCCTGGCTAGTTCTCTGAAAACCTCCGCCCCACGTGCAATAGAAGTGTGAGACGCCACGCCAGTGTCAGGAACCATTCGGAAAAAGAACAGGCAGAATGTCCTACTGCCACGGCATCAGCCCGTGAAACCCCCTCCCATGAACATGCATTGCAGGTCTCGTTACCCCATCGCCAAGAAGATGTATTAGACCTGGAACATGTGCAGAGTAGGCTCACCCCAATGGATAGGGGTGGGGAGCCGTTTCCTTATGAGCAGTGACTGAAAAGACTGGAACTGTCCAGCTTAGAAAAGAGATGCTGTCTGAGGGGAGACTTGGAAAATCAGGCATGGCGTGGAAAAAGCAAAGAGGGAAGTGGTCATCCCTGCATGTAACATGCGAACCAGGGGCACCCAGTGTACTTAACAGGCGGCGGGTTTGAAACCAGTCCTCCACATACTGCACAATCAACGTGTGGAGCTTGTTGCCAGCGGATGTTGGGAAGGTCAAACATAGAACTGGGTTCAAAAAAGAATCAGGGGCGTCCATGCAGGATTGCTGTGCTGATAAACTGTATAGGCAGTTGCTTGGCTGCACTTTGGTCCATTTTGTACTCGAGAGACCAAGGGACCAGTGTCAGTCAGGGTTATGAATATGGCACAGGGAAAAGGATCTGTCTAGCACCCGTCTCTGAGGGTACTGTCTGGTACCCATCTGTCTAGTACCCATCTCTGGGGCATAATGGATGTTACATTCACCTTATACAGAAAGTTTGCTTTCCAAATTTACCCTTCTAAATTCATCATTGTATGTGAGATGTATGTGTATGTACCAATAAACCCACCCCCATATAAAGGTTACTCCTACATATTTAATTTTAAATTAGATCCAACCTATGACCTTTGTATCTTGTTTTTCCGGTACCACAGTGTACCTCTTATCTTTGTTCCAAAACCACTGTGCATTCCAGGGCAGGACACACACTTACCTTGATTCTGGGCATTTGCATTCTAGGTCCTTAGGGCGTGAAGACACTTCCTGGGCCTATTCCAATATAAATAGATTTGTAAGGGTAACTACCTTTCTGTTGTTATAAGCCAGGAAACTACTGTACGTCTGATGCTGACAATTTTCTTGCCGACTGAAGCCAAAGCTTCCCTCAGCACCTGTTAGGTGTTACGGGATCCTTAGCAAATGTGAACAGGATTATAGAAAAGGGATAGAGAATAAGACAGAAAATATTTTATTGTCTCTATATAAAACCATGGTCTGCCCACATCTTGAATACTGCATCAGATGTGATCGCCTCATCTCAAAAAAGATCTCTTGGCATTGGAAAAGGTACAGAAAAGGACAACAAAAATTATAAGGGGTTTGGAATGGGTCCGATATGAAGATTGATTAAAAAGTCTGGGACTTTTCAGCTTAGAAAAGAGGAGACGAAGGGGGGGATAGAGGTCTATAAAATCATGACTGGTGTGGAAAAAGTAATTAAGGAAAAGTTATGTACTTATTCCCACAATATAAGAACTAGGAGTCACCAAATGAAATTAATAGGCAGCAGGTTGAAAACAAACAAAAGGAAGTTTTTCTTCACTCAGCACACAGTCGACCTGTGGAACTCCTTGCCAGAGGATGCAGTGAAAGCTAGAATGTTAACAGGGTTCAAAAAAGAGCGAGATAGATTCATGGAGGTTAGGTCCATCAATGGCTATTAGCCAGGATGGGTAGGAATGTTGTCTCTAGCCTCTGTTTCTCTGGAGATGGGAGACAGGGAAGGGATCACGTGAGGATTACCTGTTGTGTTCCCTCCCTCTGGGGCATCTGGTATTGGCCACTGTGGGCAGACAGGACACTGGCTAGATGGACATTTGGTCTGACACAGTCTGGCTGTTTTTATGTAAAGGTACAGGCTAATCTGTGCTCTACAACTGTTATACTGACATTTAATGTGTACTTAATGTTTAACTTATAGGTAAGCTAGCTGGCATTTCAAAAGGGCTTGGACAGTCGTATTCTTTTATGACTAATAAGACTACCCCGATTTGTCATAGTTCGTGCCGACAAGTTTTGGAGGAACTATTAAACGTCATGCTTCTTGCTTTACCAATCTCTAAGTACAGGCGGGATTAGGAGGTTCTCTGAGGTGGGCAGGAAAACCCTCTTCCCTCTGCCTAGCAGGGCAGGTATTGCCACTTTTAGAAACAGGGCAGATGGATCCTGCAGGGCCATCATTGCCCATACGCAGAATGTGCAGCTGCATGGGGCACCCGAAAATTTGGGGCACCGCTGGGCCTTAATGTCCATCCACCTGTCTCTTCCTACCCCCGTTGTGTAGCTCCGAGAGGATCGAGTGAACTTCCAAGTGACAAAGCCGGCCAGAGCGATTAGCGAACATGGAACCTGGGAAAGAGCCGTTTGAGCGGGAATGGAGCTATCGAACAGGCATTTGCCAACCCCAGGTAGATCCCGTCCGTTTCTGAATGCCTTGTGTTACTCCACAGGGCTTAGTTACCGTTTGCTCTGGAAATATTCCATGGGTGGGTTGCTGAAGATTATAAAATCACACCTCTAAACACCCATCCTCTCCCTGCCATCGGGCAGAGGGGCACCAGTTTAACGGCACAGCGCAGGACCCTGTACAGCCGAAGGATGAAGCGCTGGTGCAGTCTGGCATCACGGTGCCGTCTGGTTTCCCCTGCCTGCCCCTTTCCCCTCGGGCTGTGTTCAGGGCAGGGAATTCTGAAGATTCTATGGCAGCTGCTCCATGTCCCCATGCTGTGCTGTGCTCGGCAGGCCCGTGCCTGCCCCGCTGCTTGCGGAGGGCTGCCCGCCTGACAGTGGATTTGGAGGCACCAGACGGATGGAAGGGCGCGCAGCTGGAGCAGCAGCAGAACCGAACCTGGAAGCCTTTGGTTTTGTTTCTTTTCCAAGGGCTCCGGACAGAGCGAGGGAATAACGTGCCCATCTCTTGCCCCTGCTCCCGGCTGCTCTGTGTCAGGGCTATATCCCGCCCGCCGCCCCTTGCGGCCCCGAGGGGCCTGGCCTC